CCCTAAACCCTAAACCCCTAGACAAACCCCTAAACCCCTAAACCCTAAACCCCTAAATCCCTAAACCCCTGAACCCTTAAACCCTAAACCGAATGATCACTCATGCCATCCCTAAGGGTTTCTAGTATAGTTGAACTATAACTACCCCCAAGACCCTATTCGAACCACTCAGGCCGCTATATGAGATTAATAGGGTTTAGGGGTTTTGGGGGCTTAGGGTTCAGGGTTTTAGGGTCCTAGGGTTTTAGGGTTTGGGGTTTAGGGGTTTAGGGTTTAGGGGTTTAGGGGTTGGAGTTTAAGGGTTCAGGGTTTTAGGAGCCTAGGGTTTTAGGGTTTAGGGCTTAGGGTTCAGGGGTTTAGGGTTTGGGGGTTTAGGGGTTTAGGGTCTAGGGTCTTCAGGATCTTGCATTCAGGGTTGAGGCTGTGAGGCCTCTAGGCTGTACGTGTTTAGGGTTCGGGGTTGTTGGCTCCTAGGGCTTGGGGTCCTCGTTGGCTGCGTCTACATCAGCCTTGCCACGGAGAAGCACGCCTCAGTGGATTTCGAGTTCAGGTGTTGTGAAGGCGCTGTGCGGTGTTGTGAAGGCGCTGTGCGGAGTAGGACGTCTCCTCAATTCATACGGTGCTTTTGTACAGTCTATAGGTCTGGGCTTGTCCATAGCGCAGCTGAGGGCATTTCAGGGCAGTTCACAGTTTTTGGACTCGCTGCATGGGGTGACAGGAACAAGGCTCCCCGCACATACTGTTGATGATCAAAATCCTGCATTACCTTAAGGACTCTAAACTATGGGAATTATGGTATATTCTTTATTATGGGTAATGCAGGATTTTGATCATCAACCGTAGCATCACGAATACTGGCTGCGGTCGACAAGGCCTGCTCGGAGACGGAGAAGACTAAATAACTTCTGAACTCTATGTGTTGTCCCAAGCTCAGGCTCTGTGTAGCGAAGACCCGACAAATAAGAGCACCCAATCAGATTTTAAACAACAACAGTTCGTATATCACAAATAAGAACTTGGGTGGTGGTTGCAACGGAGACCCAACCCCCAAAGCCGAAATCAAACCTCAGTATAGTAAATCCTCAAACCCCCCCCCCCTCCCCCAAACCCCTACACCCAAAAACCCCAAATCTGAAAATACCTCAGATCCGAAAGAATCCCACACCCTGAAGGTACTCCAACATGAACCCTGGCACCCAAAAGGCACTCATTCGGAAACACACTAATACGCTGCATAATTTCCGAAATGGAACCCAGCAAACCCTGAACCATACGCGCTCCAAGCCTAGACCTCAAATCCTCCGAACCCGAATGCCCTAAATGCCCAAAAGCTCTGAACCCTAAACAAAATACATCGATACAGCCCTCATAAACACCTGTAAATCTGCAACACCGAAAGCCGGACACAACAAGAATATTATACATCTTACACCCCTGAGTACATAAGAAAACCGGATTTTAAAAAAAAAACTCTAAAAGGCTTCAAGACCCATGCCATATCTACGACGACTCTTTCAAGATCCAAAGCCTTATCAAGCCCTGCAAATCGCTCTAACATACTATAACGCCCTAAAAAGCCTCAAATCACCCTACATAGCCCTTTTTAAGCCCCGCTGGCCTTCAAAGCCCTGTAAACACCTTTTTGAGATCCAAAAAAAGCCCTACAAAGCCCCAGAAAACACTGTCAAACCCTGTAAAACCTATGAGATTCGAACAAACCATCCTGTAACAAAAAAAGAAACATCAAAACCCTATCAGAAATCCTTCAACAAGCCTAAAAAAATTCATCATCAAGTCCCTCTAAAAACCTAAACCCTAAACCCTAAACCGAGCCCATGAAGCCATCGAGACGCGGAGGGTCTCGGCATTCCCTGTCCGAGCACAAAGGTGCAAGGGCCGGAGTCCTCTGAGGGGTCGAGGGGTCTTTGGCTTACGGCGTTAGGGCTTCGTTTAGGGTTTATTTTAGAGCTATGAGGTTTAGGGACTATATAGGGTTTTGAGTTTTCTGAATTTTGTTGATGGGTTTGAGGTTACGAGATTTAAAACTTTTTGCTTTGGTTTGGATATGAGATTTAGGGCTTAGGGTTTTGAGCATTTCGGGTTTGGATTCGGATTAAAGCCAATGCATCGGCTTGCGCATCAGCGGCAACAAACACGTTTGGGATACCCAGAGACTCCAAAACCGTAAATTCAGGAAACCTAAACCTAAACCCTAAACCCTTTGAGGGTTTTGTGTTTATACACCGCCAAGCCATACTAAAGATCCCTAAACCCAGCCCGAAACTCAAACCCTAACATTGAAGGTGCCTCGACTCAGGGGCATGGGAGTCTTGGTTGGCCTGAGTTTGGGTTTCAGACTTGTAGAGGGTGGTGAGGATTGGTTGTTCATGTTCTTTTGCTTCTGGCTTTGCGTGTAGAGTTTAGGGTTTATGGCTTTGGGGCTTCGCGTTTAGAAGTTGTTTGGGATACTAGGGCTTTAGGGTTTAGGGTTTAGGGTTCAGGGTTTAGGGTTTAGGGTTTGCGGATAACTTAGATGAGATGGCTCACCTGTCAGTCACATACACGTTTAACTCCAGCTTGTTACGTCCCGCAGCCCTGCACCCTAAAGCCTAAACCCGAACCCCCGAGCCACCCTAAACCCTAAACCTCCGATCCTTCAGGCAGATAAGGCACGTTTCGCCAAACGTTATAACAACCGTGGCCGGTGAAGCGTGCAAGGCTCCCACCTGTTTTGCTCGGAGCCTAGATAACACCATGGCACTGCTTAGGGTTTAAGGTTACAGTTTAGAGGTTTAGGGTATAGGGGTTTAGGGGTTTAGGGTGTAGGGTTTAGGGGTTTAGGGCTCAGGATTTAACTTTTCGGTACGTACCCATTGAAGGGAATATAAGGAAACCCCAGAAAAGTTCAGGGTCTAAGGCCCAAGCTAAGTGCCAAGGAGGAAAAAAAAGTGGGTTTCTATGGCAGTTTGCGCTCAGA